CGCCAAGAAGGCTGTGCTGCAGCCTGGTGGGTGGGCCCCGATTGGGCAGGGAGCACTCTGTCCAGGGGTCCCCAGGCCTTGGGAGCAGGAGGGGCAGAGGGTCTGAGTTCCACCCTGGTTCCTCATTCGGGGGAACATGCTTTGATGTAGCTGCAGGATAGAGCCTGTCAGTACCGTTACTGTGTTGTTCTCAGAGAGGCTGGAGGGAGGCACTGAGGGTCTTTATTCTTCCTGTGTCTGGGGGGGAGTCTGAGAGCACAGCTCATGGGCCACAGCCCCCCCTGCTGGTATGCACCTTACTGTTTCCAAGCAAGCATGTTCTAACAGGCGCGGAGTTTTAGAACCCAAGTTCTAGGGAGTAAATAATATTTCTACAACAAACATATGAAGGAAATATTGTCGGTACCATGGCCGGGAGGTTAAGGGTGACATTTGTAGGGTAACAGTAAATGATATTGAGTCAACCATCTCAGGAGAGTTATTGGTTGTTTGTTATTTGGGGGAAGGGGTTGGGTGGGGTTGCTGTCCTCACAAAAGGAGCTAAGTGGAAACTGAAGTGCACGTTGAGCTTGATGAGACTCACCCTCTGGGTTACCGTCATATAACTATTTCTAAATAACTTTTATTTTATATTATTTTAAAAATATATACTTATTGATTTCATATTTTTATTGATTTCAAAGAGGGAGAGAGACAGAAACATCAATGATGAGGGAGAATCCCTGATAGGCCGACCCCTGCACATCTCACACGGGGGATCGAGTTTGCAACTCAGGCAGGGGGCCCTGACCGGGAATCAAACCATGACCTCCTGGTCATAGGTTCATGCTCAACCACTGAGCCATGCCAGCTGGGCTGTAAGTCATTTTAATCTGTTTCCTTATCCTTTGGACAAATGCCCCCCACACACCTTTGTAACCCTAAAGGCACGGGGGGTCCACTAATTACATTTCCTCACAAAGCGTCTCATTAGAGAATGTTGTGATTTGGAGCATATGATTTCAGCCACCATTTAACAAAAGCCTGAGTTATGCATATTATGGCTTATCATTGTTGTCTTCACAATAGCATGAGCTGCCAGTGGTTAAGGATCTATTATGTGAGCAATTACTGTTTTACCTCATTTCTGCTCAGCCCTCCTGTGAGGCAGTTTGGGGCCATTCCCATTTTGGAGGCAGAGATCTGGAGGCTCAGAGAGAGGGAGTGACTGTCCAAGGCTGCACAGTTAGCTCGAGCACAGCGGTGCCAGGTCTGTCTGACCGAGAGGCTGCTGCCCTTGTGTTTGCAGACATGCCAGCCGACGAAGGCCCAGCCTCAGGGCTGCCATGACTAACCCCATGACCAACTGGCTTAGGGACAAGTGGGGCTGTGGGCACAGGAGGCAGGATCAGTGCTGGCAGCTGAAAGAGAGCGGGGACAGGAGGACTCACACCAGGGAGAAGATGGTGGTGGTGGTGGTGAGGGGACCCAAGGAGCGTAAACCAATAATCAGAAAGATCTGGGCATCTAAATGCTCAAAGGGTATGGAATGGCTCCAGGGCCCACAGAAACCAGTTGGAAAGATTAAGGAAATCAATGTCTAAGGACGGACTAGGAGTGGTTGTTCAGAAACTGGTTGGTAGTAGTTCATGTCCTAGGGTCTGTGGCTTCAGGTGAGCATCAGCTCAATGTACATCGGAGTGTGATGCAGCTGGGGAGAAGCCGCCACATGCTCAGTGAGGCATCAACAGAGGCAGAGTATTTAAAGGAATGGAGGTGGCTATTACGCTGCTCTCTGATGGTGAGAGCCGGGCACTGTTTAAGATGTAGCTGGGATCTGCTTTAATCAGCTAACACAAGACATACAGACACAGAAATAACTGCCTTAAATAAAAAGATTTCATCATAGTTCCCTGGATTGAGGAGGCATGGAATGCACCCTGGGTCACATGGAGAAGCACTGGGGAGGCCAGGAGGCAGGAGAAAGGGCCGGCAGTGGTGAGAGGCTTCACTGTGTTTTTCTTGGGAAGGCATGAGGGAGGCAGGCAAAACTAAGTAGGCAGGTTTGGGTAATTTCCATGGGCTGTGGGCTGTAAGGACAGCCCCTAGTAACTGAGTTGCCTAGTCCCTAGCCCCGGGATAGTTAGGGGAGGGTAGTGGTTCACAATGTGAGAGCTCAATCAGGCAGAGGGTTGGCAGATGCAGACTCCGGTCTGGCTGGTCCGCGTGTGCAGGTGCCCTTGCAGGGCTGTCTTCCTGCCTAGGAAGTAGGCAGCCCTGGGAGGAGCGGTGTCTCCAGGGTCAGCAAGGCCCCAGATGCCACAGCATCAGGAAAAAGAAAACAGAAAATATGGGTAACCCAGGCAGTCCTTTGACGAGGGAAATGGACCACTTAGCACACCCCGAATAGCACCCTTATGGCATCATGTCATAAAAAGGCATTTTGCTCTGGGTTTTGTCTCACACGGTAGGCAAAACCTACAGTGTCAGGGAACCTGGTCAAGGTGAGGACAGAAGACCCGGGTCCTGACCTGGGGACTAATCCCAGCCCTGCCACATTGTCCTGTGTAACTTCTTAATGCCGGTGGTCTTGATCCAGCATCTTGAAGGGTTCAGGAATCTGGAAAAGCGCAGTGTGTAAATTAATCAAGAGTCCAGAGAGGAAACATAATTTTGGAAGGCATTTTGGGGGGCCAGAGAAGACTTAGTTACAGGAACTAAGTTCTCCCTGTCTAAGGACCCCTTGCTTTTTATTAACAAAAATTGTCTTAAGGCAAGGCGGAGATATACACATCAAAGGCCAGGGTTTAGTACACAGAATCCATTGTCAGATTGGAGGAATTGCCTTCGGCTGTTCAGGTGTTTGGCCAGTAGGAGACAATAACATGTAGATTAAGATGCCCTTAGCTGCCAGGCAGCAAGCGACCATTTAATGCATCCTTTTCAGGTTTGGGGAAATGCCCTCAGCCATTTCTAGATGATTCAGCCCTGCTGACATGCTGGAATTGGCTTCTGGCAACTTCTGGCAAGACTCAATTTCCTCAGCTGTACAGTAGTGTTCCATGTCCCTACTCAGAGTGTCGTTAGGAGAATGAAATAATTTTATTTGTGTAGACAGGTTGGAAAAATGTCTGGGCCATTGCTCATGGCTACTTATATTATTCTTAGTGGCAGTAGCAGCCCCAGCACAGTGATGGGGTGCAGGTGGGGCAGAGGAGCAGTGGGAACCCAGAGAACTGGCCTGATTCTTGCAGGGGGCCAGGGAAGGGTCATCCAGTGCTGGCAGAGGGTTTTGGCCGGTCCTAGGCTGCTGGACTCAGTGCTGACGGTTAGTGGTGACACCTGGCTAAGCACAATCCTGTCCTCTCCCCTCTCCCAGGAGGCCACCGGAAACTGTTGTACTATCTCAACGAGGGCCACTATGGCAACTTCCGCCTCTTTCACAGGGAGCGTCTCCCCAGTATGCCAATTGTGGTGAAGGTAAGGAGGCCCAGACCCTGATAGCTCTGAGATCAGAACTCTTCCCTGTGAGGCAGGGATCCCACTGTGAGGCGCAAGGGGGCAGAGTCTTAGATTACACATGGCTTTGTAGATTGTCACACCACGTGCGTGTACAAGGATGTGCACAGGCAAGCCTGTTTGTATTTGCATGTGCACTTCTGTGTGTGTGCATTTTTGTGTGTGAGCATGCTGACTGACACCTGTGCAGGTAGGTGGGTGGATGGGTACATGGTCTGTGTGTGCACATCTGTTTACCTCATCTGTTTACCTCTGGGTTTCCGTGTGATCTCTCTGTATGCAGTGTGTGTGTGTGTGTGTGTGTGTGTGTGTGTCCAGAATCCTTGAATGCTGGAGATACCGGAGTCCTACGAAATGGAGGTTCTCTAAGTTGCTTCACAGTAGACTCATCTGGGAAGCTTCCAAGGACCCCGATGCCGAGGCAAAGGCCCAGGCGATTGAAATCAGGCCTCTCCTGGGTTGGGACATGGCATCAATCCTTTGTTAAACCTCCTCCAATGTGATTCCAATAGCAGCTGAGTTTCACCCAGTATTTTGAGTGACTATTGACTAAAATCTTTTGCTTTTATAGATGGGAAACGGAGGCCCCATGTGTGTGTGGCCTTGAGAATTAGCAGGGCTAGGATGTGTCACTTGAGCGAATATAAGCTCCATGAGGGCCAGGTCAAGAGCAGTGCCTGGCACATAGGGACTGGTGGGTGTGAGTGACTGCCAGTGTCCTTGCTGGTGCCTGGGGGTGCTCTGCTGGCTTAGGGCATGGGCTGGGAGGGTGGGTTGGGGGCAGGAGCTCTTCCTTCTCTGATTCCCCACCCCTGTGTCCCTGCAGGAGCTCTGCTCAAAGCCGCCTCTCTTCCCCTGCATCCTTTATGGCCCCACGTGCGATGCCTTTGACAAGTTCTTCAACAAGGAGGTGCAGCTGCCTGAGCTGGACGTGGGTGACTGGCTCATCTTCCCCTCCATGGGCGCCTACAGTTCAGTCATGAGCTCCACCTTCAATGGCTTCCCGCCTGCGACCATCTGCTACATGATGGGACCTGAGCTCAGGTATCTGAGGAGAGCTCAAGGATCTGAACTTGGCCCAGGGAGCTGATGGCTAAGCTCTGGGTTCCCAGGTCCAGGAAATACCATACCCCCCCGCACCCATTGGCCCCAGAAAATATCCAACTGACATACACTGCCTATGGGGTGACCTGTTACACCCATTACCCATATAAGTCCAAGGCAGCCCTCCTGGGCAGTGTGACAGCTCTGATGTTTAGACGCCTCTGTGTCCACAAGCTGACATCCTTACAGCCCCCGTAACCCTTGATTCTTGGCCAAGTCCCCACTTTACTCTGACCATTTGTGGCTGTTTCCTGCTTCCCTCATTCGAAGTCCCTTCCCTACCAGCCTCAGGCTCCCCCACAGGGTCAGCCCAAGGGCCCCCTATTAGCCCAATCTAGGGTTCACTCCCTGAGCTGATGGGGTTTCTAGAACACCCCTTTACTGGTACAAACTTTCCACAGGAGCCTGGTGGAGACAGCTGGGACATGGCAGAATGGAGGGGTTCCAGACACTTGGTGCGTCACCTGGGAAAGCTTGGGGCGGAGGTGGGGGTGGGGTGGGGAAGAGTCACATGTGGGAAGCAGAGGTTTGGTTGCCTCTGAAATGATGAGGCAATTTTCCCCCAAATGGTGGCCTGAAACACAGGCGAGCCCTTCTGGGCAGACTACTCCACCCTTGTGTTCTTACCCAATGAGCCCTGGAGTGGGGTAGCTTGAGAAACTGGTGTTATTACAGCACGTGTCCCCTGAAGGCCATAGCCTGGAGTGTGAAGCAACCTGCCTTGGCCAGGACCTTGAGATTCTTTCATCCCTCTTTTTATTTAAAACAATATGTATCTTAAGAATTAATTTTGAGAGAGAGAGGAAGGGAAAGGGAAAGAGACAAACATCGATGTGAGAGGGGAACATCCATTGGCTATCTTCTGCACGCCCCTTACTGGGGATCAAGACAGTCCACAACCCAGGCATGTGCCCTGACCAGGAATGGAACCAGCAACCTTTGGGTGCTCGAGAAAATGCCCAACCTACTGAGCCACACTGGCCAGAGTTCATCCCTCCTTTTATCCAATTAGTGACCCCTGAGTTGTTCCAGAAATATTCACGTGAACTATAGGCACCCATTCTAGTGCCAAGAACACTGGCTCTGGAGTCAGACCTGTATCAAATCCAGGCTCCACCACAAACTGGCAGTGTGGTCAGAGCCTCAGTTTCTCCATCAATGGCATGAGAATGATATTAGTCAGTACCATCCTGGCATGGCTGTCGAGGGGATTAAGTCAGATAATGCAAATCCTCATTCAGGTCAGTTCATGTCCAGAACCCTGCCTCAGGTTGGCCTTGATCCTGGACCTTTCCTACACAGAGACCACTCCCTGCCCCCTAGGTCTGGGCATCCTCAGGGAGCATGTTGCATCTGGCCATACAGGTATTGGGCCAGGCATGTGGGTGACTGTCCTGGCGTTGGCCTTAAGAACGCCCCAGTTTGAAAGGTGGGAGGACAAGGAATGGGAATATCCAACTCCAAAATAAGACAGGTACTACCGTGTGTCTCCCAGGTTTAGAAACAATGTTTGGGAAAGTTCTGAGCTGAGAAAAGAAAATGTGTCCTACAGGCAAGGACATTGGCGGAGGTAGGGGCAGTGGGTCCCAGAGGCCAAAGCCACTCACCTCCTGTGTCCTGTGTCCTTTTTAAGCTTCACTTGATACGACTTCTCTGATCCTCAGCTCCTGCAAATGGTCCTCGTCATCCACCAGAGCCAGCCCCACCATCTCACTGCTGCCTCCACACTCAGCTAAGACCAGGGGTATTGTCCAGCCTCCTTGTGCCAAAGACATCTCAGCCCCAGACATCTGAGGAGAAAGGATGGGTTGCAGATGCCTCCTAAGGACGCTAGAGGGCTCAGGCAGCCTTCAGGTCCTGTGTTACTCATTCCTCTACTCCCAGATCCTGAAATTTGGGCTAGAAACAACCACACTTTCCCCCCTCAGAGGTGTCTGGAAGAGCAAATATGAGTGGGCTTTAGCTAAAAATAAAGTTACATTCATGTGCAAGAATTGCTGGAGTGTTTTGTGCTTTGGTCTATAGGTGTTGCCCTGTGGCATTTTGGATGTCAACTCATCTACCCATTCATTCATGAATCCATTCATCCATCCATTTATCATTCATCAGTCTTTCCATCCTTTCATCCATTGATCTATCGTCCATCCATCCATGCATTCACTGACCATCAATTGATCCATTGATCCATTCATCCAACGGTGCATCCATCCATAAAATAAAATGTGAGGGCCTAGTCTGTGATGGTGTTATTCTAGGCAAGGTTATACAGGATGAATAAGATGTGCAGAACCTGTCCTCATGGAGCTAACCTTCCATTTTCTTCCATTGGAAAAATCAGAGCAGGAGCAAACATATAAATGATAAAATAAAGTGGAAGAACAAGTATTGTAAAGAAAAATTAAAGCAGGCAAAGGGATATGGAAGGATAGAGGATGGTGCTTTGTGGTAGTAAAATAAGAAATGTTTAAAAATGCCAAAAAATGTTAAAAAGGTTTTAAAAGGTTTGAGTTAACTGTCCTGAAACTTAAAGTGTGATATTAAGGACACATTCCCCACTGCATTCCAGCGTGTGTATTCCATTGATAAGGGTTTGAACTCAGACTGCTGACTTAGAGTGACTTGCCCTGATAACCATGTCTGATGACATATACTCCTCCCCCTCTTCAGAGTGAAACCGAGTGCTTGCAAAGTTTGTTTACTGATATGCCCATAGAAACTACTGTTAAACTTGAGATGTTGTTATGCATTTTGATTACCAGAATCCTCTACTCCCCCCTGGACTGCGTGGGTACTATAGGCCATTCAAGTTGGTCATTGCTTGATTGCTGGATGCCTGGTCCTTGCTAATTGCTTTGATCCCTGCGCTGCACTGGTGGCTCTGATCGCTGGAAGTTATCTTCGCTGATCGCCTTCAGCTTGGGCGCAGTCCCCTTCCCCACTTGGTTCAGCTCGGCTTGGTGCCAGAAGACAGACGAACAAACGGTGGGGCCTCAGGTAGATCCAAGCTGTGTGCAGGGATCTCTGAAGGCAACGCCGCCCTGAAACTGAAACTTGGTTCCTGATCTGACCAGCCAGCCAGAGAAGGCGCCCCTGCTGCCACCAGAGGAAGCCACACTTTGGGAGCTCCCTTTAAGCCTGTACCCATGGCACCAGGAATTTTGTAACAGTGTGTTCTGTGTTAATAAGCTTTGGACCCACTGCAATGATAAAAAGAGAATAAATCGATGTGTGAATTGTAACTGCAACTATTTGTGTGGCATAGTTCCTCTGGCAATAATAATTATCTTACCTAATAATAGACAAACATGCAAATTGAACGTACCTTTGCTACCCCAAGCCACGCCCACCAGCCACGCCCACAAAACCCATCCAGAGATATGCACATTAACCCAACAAAGATGGCAGAGGCCAGAGTCTGAATACTTGTGTTGCAGCCACAGCTACCATGCAAGCATCCAGCTCTGGCCGCTCCAGGCCTATTAGAGATGCAGAAGTCAGGGGAGACAGAGAAGTCTGGCTCCAGCGCCTGAGGATGGCTGCGGCCTGGGAGATGAAGAAGCCGGCTACCCCTTGAACCCAGTCTGCAGCCGGCTGGAGAAGCCTCCTGCCTGTGACCTCAGGCCTCAGCAGGCAGGAGAAGCTGCCTGACCGTGATCCCAGGGCTCAGCAGGCCAGAGAAGTCGCCTGCCCTTGACTCCAGGCTGCAGCAGGCCAGAGAAGCTGCCTGCCCTCCATCCGTCCGCCCCATGTCATCAGGAAGACTGAGAAACCGGGCCCCAGCGCCTGAGGCTGGCTGAAGTCTACGAGACGAAGCAGCTGCCTGCCCCGTGATCCCAGGCTGCAGCCCGCTGGAGAAGCTGCCCACTGTATCACAAGGGGACACGGAGAAGCCGCCCACCTGCGGTCCAGGTGCCAGCACCTGAGGCTGGCTGTGGCCCAGGAGACGGACAAGCCATCCGACTTGAGGTCTCAGGCTGCAGCCACCGGGAGAAGCTGCCAGCACTGTGGTCCAGGTCGCCAGCGCCTGCATCCCGGGAAATAGTTCCCTCTTCTCCCACTGCAGTCATTACTCCAATATTCCCCTTCTGAATTTCTCTCCTGTGCCGCAACCCAACTCCACTTTTCATCGGAAGGATACGGAACAGAGCAGTGTTAAAAGCTTACATTTTTAAGCTGGTAAGGTTGGTACTTAAACATATAAATGGAAAACTAGAGTCCTTAAGGTAACAAAGGCTACAAAGGGAGGGGGACAGGGACAGGGCATGACATATTATATCCAGCAATGCATATGGGGACTGAAAACTTTGCAATGATGACAATTAGTGAAGATATGAATCAACTAACATAGTTGACAGGAACAATTCTTCCATCTTTGAAAATACCTACATCAAATCTGTTTAAATAGATTTTCACCTGCATAATCTAACACATTCTGACAAGACCACCACCACCAATGTGGTCAGTGTTGTGCTGATAAATGTTTAACAACTGGCTCTCAATCAAAGAAAACAAAACTCTGATTTATACTGTTGGCCAATTTCTGTGGCACAAATTCTCCATCCAAGGCTGATTTCAGCCGCTAATGTGATGCCACTAAATGCAGAGCTGAGGAGAAACATGCAGTAATACACTATTATATTCTACCAGAAAGACCCAAAAGATATAAATAATGTCAAGAGTCAGAACAGTAAAATGTAGTCAATAAATGAGGAGTGATGAATTTAGAGTATCTATTTCCTTTGGTTTTCATGTAATTTATTCACTTTTAAGATTATATAATTTAATTTTTAATAATGAACATGTTTAACAACCAGCTTACAAAATTCCTGAAAATTTGTGAGCCAGTAAGAGCAGGCTCTAACACAATACTGAGTGGAGTGTAATGGTTAAATGCCAAGGCTCATGGATTTGAAATGAGACTCAGCCACTTTTGGGTTTTGCTGGTCAAGTTACCTGATCTCTCTATACCTCAGTGTTCTCATCTGTGTCATTATAGTACCTCCTGTATAGAGTTGTTGCAAAGATAAAATGAAATCTGTGTATGACACAGCACAGTACCTGAAACAATAATTCACTCAATTTGTTATAAACTGTTACTGCCTCAAAACGTTGTTGACAAAATTACTCATGCTGAAAGAATGAAATTTTATTGATGAGAAAAATGCCTTATTTTGCGATCTACACGGAGACAGTCAATTTTACTTCCTAGGCAGTAGATGGTAATCTACTACTAGAAACTGCAAGGGGGAAAATGACCTCAGTCAACATGATTGAGGCAATGTATTATTAGCTGGATCATAAAGCAGAGAGGATGCCATGCATTCTGGGATACATCTGCAGTAAGAGGCTTCATCTCAGGTATTAATTCTGATCAACTAAGCATCAGACTTAAGATGAATGGTGAGAAGGATTCTGAGGCAGCTTCTAGACTTAGCAGGAATAGAACTTTAATACATAAGCAACAGTTACTATGGTTAATGATGGCAAGAAAAAACACACCATGATCTAATCTAATAAAAGAAAAACATGCAATCCCCTGAGGGCTCCCGGGCTGCCAGAGGGATGTCTGAATGGCAGGGAGCGGGCCTAAACCAGCAGGTGGTCATCCCCTGAGGGGTCCCAGACTGCCAGAGGGCACAGGCCGGACTGAGGGACCCTCCCTGAGTGCACAAATTTTTGTGCACCGGGCCTCTAGTACTAATACAAGGTCAGATGAAATTGCCTGCCATGGTCCTGCCTGCATAAAGTATTCCTTTTGCTGGCAACTACTTTGAATTTCCGAAAACCTGCACGGTTAAAGTTTATTTCAAGGGACACCTCAGATAAGTGCCCCTCCTTTCTTAGACAATTGGCATTGTCAGAAGTTGGTGACTACACATGACAATTGACGTAGTCAGCTTCACAATTAGCATAGTCGGCTTTTTCTGTAAGCCTGAGCAAATAACAGCTATATGAATGAGAGTTAAGTTTAACTCCGAAGAGAAGGAGCAATTTGTCCCTGCTGCCCAAATCACTGGGTGCTTTTCGGTGACTAAGAACCTTTGTGGACGTGTCAGAGATTATTTCTCAGGACATGAAAGCTGCTCTATAGAGAATTCCATCTCAACTATAATTAATTTACTGGCTCACCCGGGGATCGCACATGTTGTTTGGCAAACCAGCGCCTTGAGTCCTTCTGGCTGTTTTAGACGACCAGGAGAGGAACCGAGACACGTAAGAGAGATTGAGATGACCGAAGGGTGACACCTTTGCAGAGCTCAACTCACAAGGAGCACACTTGCAGCCCACTACACAATATCCCTAGAAAATATTTTGCTCAAGCCCTACAGAGAAAAAATAAACTAAAAGGACAAAATAATTATTGAAAAGATTTTTTTCTTTAAAGAAACTCCAGAGAAATCCTATCTAATAAAGAGGGAAGAGAAACAAAGATGGCGGCATAGGTAAACACCTGAAATTGCTGCCTCGCACAAGCACTTCAAAAATACAACTAAAAGACAAAACAGACATCATCCAGAACCACAGGAAGGCTGGCTGAGTGGAAATTCTACAATTAGAAGGAAAGAGAAAAGCACACTGAGACTCAGAGGGGGTGGGGAAGTAAAGTGCAGAGATACAGAGGCACGTGCGGAAAGAGCTGGCAACTGAGGACTCGGTTGTCTTTTTCAATCGGGAGGGAGACACAAGCTCCCGATGGCTCCAACTCCAGTTGTAGATGAGTCTCTGGAGACCAAGAATCATACGGGGAGAAACTGGACTGTCTGGCAGCGGGTAGAACTCGAGGGCGACTTTCTCTCAGAGGTGCTTGCAGTGATTACCGTGGGACAATGAGAAATGGGGCATTTAAGGGGCAGGGCTGAGAATCAGCCATAGCTGTTTGCTCCGCCCTGTTGATTCCCTGAGATCCCGCCCCACCCAAGCTGTGCACAGAGGCTTTTGCATATGAATGACCTGGCCCTTTGCAATCTAAAATTACCTAACAAACTGCAGCTGG